GCTAATTTACAAGTTGAGACTATCGGTTTGCGAAATTATCGTTTTGTGATCAGTTAGCGCGTTTAGTGAAATAATAGCGCAGTCAAATACATGTTGGAGCGTGAGTAAATCTAAAAAAAAAATACTACCAAAACATAACCATAACAAAATAAATATTACTAAGTCATATCTAAGTAATCTTGATTTCTTTTTCTTTTACGGCTTAAAGAAATTCGTAAAATAATGTGGAAGTGCAACACATTGAATGCTACAACAGTAGGGCTCAGTTTATTGGTATTCTCGTGGAGCTCAGGGTATTTACACGTTATCTTAACGTTATGGCGTGGAATGCCAACTCCATTCCCTGAACGGGTATTGTGATATTATTGTCACGCCATACTCTGTTATATACATTCCAATAGAAATTCTGTTTCCTTTATCTATGTAACTTTAGTTATTTATTGCATCACTTCTATGTCTCTGAGGGTGAAAGATTGAACTTAAAAGGTACATAGTACTAGCCATATGAAAATGAATACGTAACAGTAAAGATGTGTATGCAATAAGGTTGTGTGTTTGTAACATGAAACGTACATCTATTCATATTTTAAATATTAAATATACAGTATAATAAAGGTGTCTATATCGTATAATAACAGGAAGTCGTTAAAAGCCACTAAAGTAAAAAAATCGAATACTACCTTTTCATATGGTTACGATTACTAATGATTAGTAATTTCCTATAATTAATTGCATATACCTACCTGATAGCTGAATACGTTTCTAACGTCCTAAAACGCCCTATCGTACTTTCTGCCAATCACAAATGACGGGGTAAAAGATTATAATTTAAGGATGTAAAAGATTATAATTTAAGGATGTAAAAGATTATAATTTAAGGATGTAAAAGAAATTTACGTTAAACTGTAAACCCTCTAGATGTTTCAATTAAAACCAATCAGTAAAATTATTCCCCAGGTGATCAAATAAATTAAAAGATAGGGACCTAAAAGAGCGGACACTTTCAAAATCATGTGTAGAAACATTTTTAAAGTTTTGAGATTAGATGAATAGGTTGACAATTCATAAAGTACATACATTTTATTTTATGTATAGTAGATTACTTGTGTATTGTTAATAACGAAGCCAGCAAACGTGAGTGCAGAAAAGATGAAGTTAAATGTTAAATTAAGTATAAGAGAGGAATGGACGAGCATTGATACCAGATTCTGATCATAACCGGGTTGTTCTTTTGTTAGGGTTATAAAATCAAAATATAATTTAAAAAGTCAAATGTCTACTCAAAAACTATTTTCATTCAGTTAAATTTATATTAAAAAATGTCTATTCCTTTCTATTTCAAGCAATAATAAACTTAGAAAATGGCAGGTCTATACCATCTCAAACACCAAATTACGACTGGGTTTAAATTATGGGGAACTTTTGCATATGTTCAATTTTATGTAATACCAATTTGTTAATTTTGCCAATAAATATTTCAAGACTATGTGATTAAAGTACAAGTCAATGTGGTTCAATTCATTGGAGGGATGAACTATGTGTGTCAACTACAATGCAGGCATACTAGGTAGAACATAGGTCAGACATATTGTGTTTCTATCGTGTCACATAACGTAGAGTGTCTATATACGGGTATTTGATGTTAACTAAAACTAAAAACTACGTAAGTCCTGACATATAATACTACACATATAACTACATATAATATAAAAACGCATCACTGAAACACATCTTGACTTCAAACATATCGTAGGACAAGAACTTACATAGTGTTTTTGTTTGTGAAATAATGAAAAATAATTTGCAAGCAATTCTCTAATAATTGGTCCTACATATGATTTTCAGAACGGATAGTCCTAATCAGCCTGATACTGTATAGTAAACATTATCTTTAAATTACTGTTCAGGTTTTGGTGATAGTACACCCTGAGTGCATAGCAAGTTTTATTTTTTGTTTAAATCATTTAAATATTGATAAATGTGATATGATTTACCCTCTTTAGTTTTGTTTACTACCTGTCATAATTTTTACAAAGTCATTAAATTTTAATAATAAAAAATAGGCCTATAAAATATATTCATTATACTGCATTGAATTAAGTAAATATACACACGGATAATATCTGCAGGTATCTTAAAATTGTACTTTACTGCATTTTTTTGCAGTATACAGTTATTATTTTTAAGATCACGAACCTATCCATTCTGAACAGGTTATCAAACTTTCAATGGAGACATCAAACTGTGACAAAACTTTTGAAACACAAAACTCTAGCACTCCCTTATCTGGGGGTGCTTCCACGAATTACTGTTCTGATCGGAAAACGATCCTTTAAATCATGGAAAGAGTCAGCTTTCATCGGGGCTGGAGACTTGGGTATATTACCGTTTGAGGCGAAACATATTCCTAGTAGCGAGGTTTGTTTTATAAAATTTGTATAAAATTAAATGTTATAATATTACACTTTTTAATAAATTATAAAATAAGAGTAATCGATGGTATTCTCTTTTTGACGGTAAAGTACAAACAAATTGGAAATAAGTTAAGCTTATAACATGTTTATTTCAAAACTGTAGGCTTAAAATATTTGGAATTACCTCAGTTCGTCTCGATTTCAATATAATTTAAATTTGTTATCGCTGAAAGTCTATTTGATTACGCTCTATTGAAGAAAGCCTGTAGAACGTTTGCTTCTGTTAAAAATTATTAATATGATATAAATAAAATTGTAGTTTAAAATAAATTGAACAACTTTTGCCACGGAGCCCAACGAATAATTGAGACGGTTGCTTATGTTATGTACTTAATAAATTTCTAATTGCATTTGATAACCACCAAACAGTTCTGAAATAATCTTAATGTTATTAAAGATGGGTTTATGTAGCCAGAGTTAAGTAAAAATATTGAGGCAACCAAAAATATTGTTTTTTAGGGAATTAAACATTCAAAGCTGTTTATTAGACCTATGTGCAATGAAATGCCATACCTATCTAGAAACTATTAGGGTTGTTATTTTAGGCTAGGAGTACTAAATCGATTCTGGAACACTCCCTTTTCTAAAATCCATATGAAAGTGAACACATTTTTAGTTGATCGGAAGTAGTGGTAGGAAGTAAGTGGTTTTAACTGATTCTCATTCGAGTTGTTAACAACAGCTGTTGATCCACGTTCCCCAGTCATGTTGCTGGTTTGTATGTAGATGTCGGAGGCTTGTCCCATGTACAACAACGACGGATCTGTGTTTGCAACCAACAACACGTGTTTAGAGGTAACTAACAAAACGTAACCAGTTGGATTTCTCAAAAAGTTTATTGAATTATTACTTGGTTAAGATGTTACTAGCATTTTTTGGTGTTAATGTTGATGTGTGTCTTTGTTTGAGACAATATTCTTAGCTAGGAACAATTTAATTTGTTTGATAAAATTACAGCGCATATCAATTGTATTATGTGCGTTGGTGTACTCTTACGTCACTGTATATTTTTACCGTGTTCGTTAGAGTATCATGCTAACCCTATATTGTTACTAAAATCATACATACTTTCGTTTTATGGCATATTTCATTTATAGCCAAATTATAATATCTGGGTCTAGAATTGAACTTTTTCCATTAAAATCTACAAACAAACTATTTATTTTACAATACGAGCACGTAGTTTACACAATTATGGGCTATAGCTGATCAAGCTGAATATTTGAACACCAAGCTACGTTATAATATGGCGATCCAGTGGTTCATTCCTAACTTAACTTAGCCTTAGCTGTATGTCCATTTAAAAAAAATAACTCTCTCAGGTCGAAAAGTTGTAACATACTTTGAAGAACTACCTCCACCAAATAAATATCTTACGGTTATTAAATTTTATTTCTTGTCTACATAATATGTATTAGAAATATCGGTAGCCAAGTTGTAACCAAGATTTATTCACCGAGACGTCACGGAAGTAGTCTCACAGCTGTTAAGCAGCCAGTGACAAATGCCGCAGTAACTTACGCTCATGTCAGGATCCTTTTACCCGCCATCTTCGCCGCTTCATACATGTCGTCTGCTTTGTGTACTCTCAAGTGACTGGGGATTAATGTATTATGTATGGGACTTGGTAAACGTACATAAAATACTAATTTTTCTTTTCTTTATCAGTGACATAACTATTTGATCAATGTTGTATGTGATGGTAATGTTATACGATGTCGTATGATGTAGATGTGTTACGTCATGCAACACTATTCCTTATATTTAAAATAATACACTATAAGAACTTTCCAGAATGTAAATGCATAAACATGTTGAATGAGCGATACATTTTTACCGGACACATCTTTCGTCATCAGGCCAAAACAGAGAGTCAATGAAATAACATTAATTGAACAAAACCCCAAGATTCATAATATCAATATGCTTACCATTATTGTAAAATATTTATGACGAAACTAAAATGAAAATAGTTGCTTTGTTTGACTATTGCTGTTTGCACATATTTGTCTAAAGAATATGTGGAACTTAGTCACTAACAAGTCTACAAGATCGCGCCACTCATCCTACACTCATCTCCATTCATACTTGGCTTAAAATACCAACTACTTTATCATACTTTGTATGGTCGTAATTTCAATGAAAATTATAAAAAAGTAACATAACTAAAACATTGCCTACGTTGTAATGCAATTCGTCATCCTGAAATATTTTTTTATTAAATTTTACAAAACAAGAGTGTTACGATAAAATTTTTTATCACAAAACCTTAACAATACAGCTATTTTACCTCTTCTGATGGTTTTAATAATATGTGAGGTAAAATTATGGTGGGAAATAAATGTTTTAATGCTTGAAAAACTATTTTAATGGAAACCACATCAATGAAATTGAATATTTCTCATCATTTAAAATTATTTGTAATTAAATTAAATGTGTACGATATTACATTATACGTTATTTGCAGAAGATGTAACATTTATAGTGTGATGTAACTGAACTATGTAATTGATTTTTATTTTTCAGACCACGGAGGACAAGACTTGAAAGTCTTCTAGTTCTCAACCTTCTACGACAGCGAGTAAGTAATTTTTTTAAATAGCAAAAAGCTTATTGTTTATACATCTATTGTTACTCGTATGTCCTATGAAACCCTTTTGTTTCGTTAGTACCCATTTACAACCTAAATGTGTGTTACAAAGCAAGGGTAATTATTACTGACAAAAGAAAATTATTACATCAAAACACTCCCATATTTAATCATGAATTACAATAGGAATCGTTATTTCGTAATAGATAAATCAATTTAAAAATACAGTGTTTTAACCAGAGCATCATTGTTTTCTGGAATGTAACTATGGTTGAATTTAGGTATTTACGTGGACATTATAACCATATTGACCAACTGTATACTTTCTTTTTTAGCTACGATACTACATTTATAATTTTTGGTGACATGAAGATGCAACACTTTACAGTACTGTTTATTTTTTATATGAAACGATACTTCGAACTAAAGTATGTTATTAATATTGGTTGTTTATTAATGTGTATTAGTATTATAATCACACTTATCATTGTGTTAACTATTTATACATAGTTTGTGCATTAGAAGAAAATCGGTATTTTACTTCTGCATCCCCTGTTATGACATATTTTTATTGTGAAATCATAACACATTTGACGTTGGAATTCGATGTCTACTTCAAAGCAGATTCGTATTCAAAACGCTTATTTAAACGTTAACACATACGATTTATCCAAGCAAGCATTCAGGTGGAGTTATGCTAAACTGAAACGCGTAGAGAAAGCTTCAAAGTTCATCACACCGGATTATATCTAGCTTTGCAAACTTTGATTGGGAATTTAGTTGTTATAATCAATCATTGAGGTAACATAACATGACGTAGCTTAATCAAATAGAACACGTGACTAGATAGTTTTGATTTTGAATTATAATTTCTTTACATGCCTGATCATGGAAAACTAAGAAATACTAAACAATATGAGCATTAACGCATTGTGTGAATACGTTTTAAGTTAACCGACTTAAAGGGGTGTTGAATAGGATTTTAAATCAATGGTCGAACAAATACCATCCACATTAGGCTATGTTTATGAATTGTATTTCACTTATAATAATTTATTTTCGTTAACCTCAGAAAAGAAGGAAACTCATACTTTTATGATTGTAAAAAGTACCTAAGGCTGAAAAAACTGTTCTTAAAATATTTTTTATACATATATAGATAGGCCTAAGCATATATAAATATATAAAAAGTGTGATTGCGTTTGTAACGTGAGCAAATGTAAAAAGATTTTGTTGGGATTTTGCATGAATGTTTAGGCCTGGATAAATATTAAAAATGCGTTTGCGAACCAGCAGGATTGTGTAATAGAAACAAGTTTTATGGGGTTATTAAATTTATATTATTATATTTACACCCTAAAAAGGTGAAATGCCTATTTTTTGTTAGGCGTGTAGAGTTAAAAAATATTTCTTATATTGAAGCGTTGTACGCTTAATGGGTAAATACAAGGAAAAATGTAATAAAAATGTACAGTTAAAATTTGTATGTTATTCCATGAATGAAAAGAGAGGTGTCGTACTTAACTTGTTAATGGATGGATATTTTTGAATTTGCGGCAAGTTTGTTTATCCCACACTGAACTATTCACATTAACGAAAAATCACATTTTTCCTTTCCTTTAGCAGCAGTTATAAGTACTAATTAAATGTATTGTTATTTAAACAAATAAATCCGACATATTAAGGAAATATTTTGGCAAAAATCTGATCAGACAAATGGAAATTCCCTTAGTCTGCAGGTTTGCTGCAATGGTGATACATACAAATACATATTTGGAAAAATAGGTTTTTTACTACCGGTCGCTGGTTTTTAGAAATATTAAATAGCTTTGTTTTTATTTACACACTATATCAATCTATGAGAACTTACACCTCATTGCATTTACTAAAGCATTTGGTGGCAAATTGAAATTTAAGAAATGATTTTGATTCATTGTAAAATGAATATGCGAAATTTAAAACGAACTACAGCAAACTGAAATAATAAGAAATTACACTAAACTAAACATTAACATTTTATGTACACCTTTCACGGTTGGACGATATTTCCTCAATCTGCCAACCGAGCTGGAACCTTATACTGACGTCACGTCCTAGTAAATGAGGCACGGACAGTAGGCGAGACGTGCTTCTGACAGTGTCACGGACAATATTGAATTGTACAATATCTATTCATGTTGTGGCGCAGTGTTCATAATATAAGGTTCATTTATCATCTCTAAAGAAATTATAATGGAGCTGTACCTTTAGAAATTAATTTTATTTTAGATTGGATGGCGATATCTAAGGAAGTTTCGAAACCCTAGTCCTTATAATGGGTATTGTAACTTCGACATTGTAAGCATTACTAATTGGTATTGTTGGGATGACTGTTTGGTCAAATCAATTGGGTAATCCAAGCAGTTGTCTCCCCAAGTTGTCAGAGCAGATGTCAGATGAGACAGAAGCGATGATTTGAATTTTTACTTGGTCATGCCTGGTATACAGCTCAAGAGGATATACCCTGTCTGTAGCAAAGCTTCAAGGGAGAGGCCTGCCTTATATAAACGGCGAACTGCAAAGGCAGAATTCTTAGTAAAAAGATGGGACGATCTTAAATATTTCCGTTTCTTTAATTTTTACTGTTTTTGAGTGTGCGTCTACAAAAATTGATTTATAAAAAATGGATTGATAAAATTCTTATTCGTTTGAGAGACAAATTTCAAGAACATACATTGTCATTATTGGGGTTTGAAGAAAAATTAATTTTATCGTAAAAAGTGACATGTAGAAAAATTGAAACCGTTGATTCCTCTCCCCAGGCTAAGAGAAAGTAGTACTTTTTCAGATTTTTCAAATTATATGTAACTACGATGTACTCATTTTTTGAACAAAAATTTCTAAATATTCTAAAAAAATCATGTTTACTCTCTGGTGACTGAATACCATGTAATACTATGTAATGTAACACTGTAACAATGTAACTACTGTAATGTAGTGGCTTCAGTCTATATTTGTTGACAACAGATGTCCCTACATACTTCCGCACTGGATATTGTTCTACGAAAGCCCAATGCCACTTTGAAAGATTTTTGAGATACTTGGTGTAGAGGATTGTGGAAAAAACTTCTTTATAATTCAAAAACTTACCGATTGTAAAAAATTGAATTATTTTTATATTAATCTGAACGATAATAAATAAGGTTTGAATTGATTCTAATAATGTTGTAATCCGGACATAGGGTAGGGAGGGGAGTGTGAATCACTCAACAAGATTGAATGGTTAGAGCCAGCTGCAGTCGATATAATAATGTTAACGCACCTTAATTACACGGAAACACTCTCTTGCAAAATATAACTAATGAACTATGACCTGATATTGAAGAGTACTTTAAAAAATTGAAACGTTTGCGCAAGCATCCAACAACCTTTCCTCATACGTTTAGCAAATAAAACTAATATTATTGTTAGAGAAACTTAAGTTCTCTATGTGAATGATTAATTTGCAAAGCATTCATTTTTGAATAGTTATACAATTATTTTTCTAATTTTATAAAAATTATAAAACCATTGGTTAAAAAGGGAATTAGATTTCACAAGTACAGTTATATGCCAAGTTATAAGTAGAGGTGGTTGATCTCTTATTGTTTTATAGTCCCACATAGCACGGATCCTTTTGACACATTAGTTAAGGCTTAGAGGGTCATCATTAACAGAAATGTAAAAGAAAATGCGAATTTCGTGAACCCTCATCAGCTTTTTAACTAAATATTTCTTTTGTTGTTTTTGTGGCATTAGATATTTTCTACATAAAACGAGATAACGCACTCTGAATGATCTAGAGCTGTTAATGTGTTCTGAAAAGTAAATTATATGCGCCCTTATTCTGGATGTAATCAAGAGTATAAAGGATCCCAAAGGGCCACCTGTGGCTATCCTCCCTCCAACTAACCACCACTGTTCTATCCTTACACTTTACAACACCTTAGAAGATGTACCAATTACTAGAATAGTTACCATCTTGGTTTAAACATAGTTATTGGCAATAGTGAGTGATTTGTATGTTTAAATTAATTTTTTCCTTCAGTCACCCGACAAAGTGGGATTTCTTGCACTGTTTAGTGCAGAAAGCTGCTAATTTCTGCATTTGTCGCACAGTTTTTACTTATTTGCACCCCAGTATTCCAACCAAACAACACAAAATAGCGTGCTTTTATTATGCACGTAATCCATGTACGCTTGGAAATAGGTTGGCAACACTTAAGATACTACGACTATGATCAGCTGGTACAGCGTTTCCCATTTCGTTCAGTGTTTGGATTTAACCTATCCTAAAAACGTACAGTGTTATAGTGTTAGTACAGTGTTTGAAAGACTAATTATTTATATTATTTATAGTAACTGTTGGGAAAAAATATTGTGTAACACGAGTGCAAACTGCCTTTGCTGCACTCAAGAGACTTTCCACACTCGCCTGAGGCTCATGCGTAAACATTTCTTTCGTGTGCAGCAAAGTGCAACTTCGCCCACTAGTTACACAAATAACTATTGCGGACACTTCCCAAAGTTCCACGACCTTTCGATATCAGGGATCTGATTCTGTGAGGTCAGTACTATTTATGAAACAGCTGATCGTAGTAAGTAACAAAGCTTCACAGATCATCTCACACCATTCTACACTCATCCTTCACTCATATTTGGGTTGAAATACACATCTAGGTGGCGTTCTAAACTCTCTTGATAATTGATTGACATGATTAGGACACAAATTGAGAAACAGTGGACAAATTATTAGCAGTAAACATTTTTTTAGACCATTGAATTAAAAACAATTGAAAAATAAAGGATTAATTTGGTCTATTGATTTTGAGGGTCTATATATCAGGGACACACCTTCCTACAAAAACCTCATATGTAAAAGCCTGTATAATGTTATTAATTTTATCACAGAATAAAAGTTCAACAAATATAAGGGTAATGCAAGCATTGCCTGATACAGCTACATTATACCA